GAGGCAACAGTGCTAGCCAACTGCGCCACCTTGCAGCCCACACTCCAAACACCTCCGTGAAATAGTTACTAAAAAACAAGAGAATTTATTGGTAAGGAATGGAATAAATATGGCCTGCCTACAGCAATCCTCCCAAAATGAGTGCCTATGCAATAAAGAGACTTGTGTGCAAGGCCACCAAGACACCTATGACTCCTCTAAAATATACTTTATATGGCTTTTCCCCCAGATGTCCTTGGATCTCTATTGCCTGCGGTGGCTATTGTAGTGATGATACTCTTGTATTTGCTATCAGCTGCTTAAACCTGCAAATTATTCTCAAAAAAGACCAAATTAAATTGCCTACAATTTAACGTTGAAAAGCAATAAAAAGGGGAAACAGGCAGGTGGATACTTTTCATCGACATTTCATCAAGAGTGTGACTTTGAAAACGCCTGTTGTCTTTCTGCAGGTGAAGAGAGTTGATGTGAAGCATGCTGCCACGGTTATTTACTGTCTCAAGCAGTGCAGTAAGTATGTTTTCTGCTTCAGACTAGAGGGTAGCTCCTTCTTTTCCTTATCTGTGGTCCCATCCTGCATGATCAAACCGGACTCTTTGTTTTTTTTCCTGTTTCCTAACATAGTCAAAACCTGAGGCGCTGCACATCAGTACTTGTTTTAAAAAATGTGGTTTGAAGCCGTAATGGAGCTTGTGTTTACTGTAATGAATATATGTGCCTCTGAAGTTTTTCCTAAGTGGCTTCTTGGCATCATGTAAAACACTAAAAGCATTCCCTGCAGTGGCATGATTCAGTGTTGTATGCAGTCATAGGTGACACCATAAATGCCCAGAAGAGAGTGAATAATAATACCCCTGATGCATCGTTTACAGTATTGCTTTACACAATATTGGAAACTTGAGTGTTTGGGAAAGGAAGTATTTTTGTTTTTGTGGCTGTATCATCTTTCAAAAGTCTGAAAGGCACACATAATGGTTTGATTGCACTCAAAGAACATTAAGAGGACACCATATGTAGCCTGTTAGCGATGCTTAGCGTAACGAGTAGAAACAGCCTGACTCAGTCCAAAGGTTAAACAATTCCACCCTCCAGCACCTAATATTAAAGCCTGCCGTTGGTAAATCAGTAATATGTCTTCATAGATCAACCACCTGCAAGAGCTGTCGTCGCCCCTCAAGCATCTTTGGACTTGACCTGGGTTGTTATTCCAGCTGGCGTTTGCCTCTCTGCGATCATAATCATCACTCTGGTGCTCCATGTGATGCTAACAGGTATGTCAAAATAGGCACACGCAGCCTTCAGATTTATCTACTGTACTGGCGATGTAAGCGCTTAAACTAAGATTGATTTAGGCTGAGATCCAGCATCCACCCTGCAAACTCCCACACTCAGTTGCTCCTTCCTGATGAGTCTGTGAAGGCTCAGAGCTGGACGAATGTTCAAAACGCTTGTTGCCAATGTTTAGCCTCCCTCTAATTCCCATCTGAGTCGTTTGATTATACAAATCGGACTTCTTCCGTGTGTCAATGGGTTTACAGTAACTAAAAATTGCAAGTGCGTCAGTACATTTGAATGAAAACCAACCGATGAATTTATCACTATAACGGTCTGATTCCCCCCCTGTTCTCTTTTAGTGTATCAGAGGAGGAAGCAAAAAAGAAATAGAGTCAGCACCTCTGAAGAGCAAAAAGGTAAGATGATCATTTGATGTATACACGCACATGTTGTGTCAGGTGTGAATGGATTAACACTCTGAACCCTAAAACCTGCCGGCGGGTTTGAAAGGCTGGTTATTATTATCATTATTTAAATCACCAATATATCGCCATTAAATAACCCTTGAAATACTCGTCTGTGACGTGCAGTTCAGTCAAGAAAATTAATTAAATCTAGGCTTGATATTGAGATTTTCTCTTTATAACTTTATTGTATTTGTCTCATTTAAAACTTTGCTAAAAATAAAACATTTGTTCCAACCATCCATCCAACCATCCATCCATCCATCCATCCATTATCTATACACTGCTTAATCCTCACTAGGGTCGTGGGGGGCTGGAGTCTATCCCAGCTGACTTAGGGTGAAGGCAGGGGACACCCTGGTCAGGTCACCAGTCTATCACAGGGCTACACTTAGAGACAGACAACCAAGCACACTCACATTCACACCTACGGACAATTTAGAATCACCAATTAACCTCAACATGTTTTTGGACTGTGTGGGAGGAAGCTTGAGAACCCGGAAAAAAACCCTCAGGGAGAACATGCAAACACTATGCAGAAAGGTGCCTCCTTGCTCCGACCAGTAACAAAACAAAAAAATTCTGCATTCCTTGCCACAGCTATGAAGCCATTCGTGTCTTAACAACAACCAACAGCTACATGAAGTAAATTTGGAGACTTTTTGGGCTGAGCCGCAGACTGTGTCTACACAGAGCAGATAGGAGATAAGAAACAAATTTAAAAGTAAATAGTAAAATGGGCCGCCGCTTTAGCTCATCTGGCTGATCTGGTGATCCATGTACAGGGGCTATAGTCTCCGATGCAGCGGTGATGGGTTTGAATCCCGCTCATGGCCCTTTGCTGCAACCCCTTCCCCCCATTCTCCTCCCCACTTTCTTGTCTCTGTTTCAACTGTCCTGTCTTATAAAGGCCAAAAAACATCTTTAAAAAACAAAAAAAGCAAGTAGTAAAATATCTATCGTAAGTAGATTTATCTCGTCTTTTTCTCTAGTCTTGGTAAAAATGAGACAGAGAAAAACAACGCTCAGCTTGGGGTTCAACGTGCAGCATTTACATTTCTCAACCCTGCCTGTGTTTCTTCTGTCATTGTAGATCCTAATCTTGAATGCGTGGTCTCTGCACTACAAGCTCAACCCGTTCTCCATGAAGGGGTCCTCATACCTGATTCACCGCATTGTAAAAACAACGAGAAGGCCAACCTCATCTCTCAGTGACCAAACAAGAATGCTCCGGTCTAACGCATTCCTTGCATTTGTACAGTAAAAAGATGTTACAACAAAACAAGAAGTTCTCTGTTGCATTAAGTATACATTATTGGAGAGAAATTTCAAACGTTAGTATCTTGCTGTTGATGTGCTTGTTTGTATGCTTGTTCTAGTTACTGGCTGTTGTTCATGTATTTTGTGTGGTGTTGTCTGTTTTATAACACATATGTTAAGTTAAAATATCAATTCATCTTGCAGCTAAAGAGTCCCCATCCTAATTTAAATGTCTATTTTCAATAAAAAATACAAAATATGGAACGGAAATGCAAATTCTTTCAAATGGATTTTGGTTTTGAAATGCATGATATTATTTTCTCTTCACAATAATTCAACACGTTGATCATTCTGGTGAATCTAATCATGTCTTATCTCAGTTTCCTTGTATTGGAGTCCACATTTAATTGCATCACTCAAAATATTACGTAATAATGGAAAAGTCATCAAAGGTTACACAAGAGTCAAAAAGCAGTGACATTAATCAGCAACTTTAACGCAGTCAGCACTAGCAGCTTACCAAACTGGTATTAACTACTGTTTCATCACACTCTATTGTGAGGAGTTTGCATTTTGTTGTCAACGCCCTGTAAAGACCTACCACCACGAACCCCCAGCAGCACATCTCCTTTGACATCTAAACACAAACTGTTTCCCAGAAGCTAGTTTTCACGGTTCCCACAAACACTTGGCGCACTTGTTGAGACAAGCCAGAAGTTTGGTTTGATGCGTTTCCTTCCGAGTTTAACATCACTTTCCTCATCCTATGCATGCTTTGCATTCTTTTACATGTAGAAGTTAACCCTCAGAGGTAACACGTCTTATGTGCGGAGAAACACTAAAGAGGGTCATGAAACTGTGAATACTGATTTGCTGAAAGTAACAAAACTTTACATGATGATGGCCACTTCATTCAAGGAGCAATGAATTATGAAAGCTGCTATAAGTGAGGTTTTCACAGTAACGATATGCTACTTTTTATTTCGTATGAGTATTTAGTTCAATACTCAATACATCAAAAACAAGTATGAATTTAACAAACAAAGAAAATGCAACAATTTTTTCAGATTAAAACTCTTTAGCACACCTTTTGTGTTGCGTAAACCAGCTTCACCTGAGGCGTCACCTGGAGCTTTTCAATTCACTGGAATTGTTGGAGTGTTGACATGCAGCAAACAGCCCTATTTTAATACTGTAGTCATTCATATTATTGCAAGAACCACTCAACTAAGTAAAAAGAAACAATCATCCATCATTACTTTAAGATAAGCAAGTTAAATGGAAAGTTTCACTAATTTCCAAAGTGCAGTTGGAAAAAAAAACACCAAACGCTGTGATAAAAATGGTCTTTTACAACAACCACCCCAAGAGACAAAAACAGAAATGGGCTTCAGAGAAGTTCATTGGCAGCCTCAGAGCCTCAGATTAGGTTTCTGCCGATGTGGTCTCAGCTGTATGACTACCACAACCTTCTGCAGTAGTATGCGGTCTGATTATGGGACCATTGTTTGTTTTTCAGCAGAACAGTGACTCAGAAACACATCATTAGGCTCTCTAAGGTCAGTTTGACCTAAACGGAGAGTCTTGAAATGCTCAACATCACCTAATCTAAATGGCATCTTGGGATCTTGTTAGACAGACAGGTAGATAGATAGATTGGTTTGCAGCAGAAAACACTCAAATGGCATTTCACACTTTGGTAGCCCACAAACACTTTCAAACAATATCTCCACATTTCACACATTATGACCAGACCAGCTGGACCTTATTTCCTCTCCATATTTAGAAATTCGATAGCTTGCGGAATAAAAGACACTTCGGACCTGCTTTTTTTTTTTTTTTAAAACAGAGGAGGGCAATAAGGCCTTGCAGATGGCAACAGTTTAAAGAAGGGGGAAAGTGGATGCCTCTCGTCAGCCCCAATAGCATCGGCCTTGTTCACAACCCGGTCTTTGTAAATACGTTCTAGGCTGGGTAGTGTGGTTCCCAACAGTTTGCTGGATGTTCTTACTGTCTCACTGTCAGAACTGATGTGGGAGTTGTCCTGGACTGCTGTGGTGATGAAGGAGCTGATCCAGAAGGCGAAGCTTTCTATTTACCAGTCTATCTACATTCTGTCTCTCATCTGGGGTCATGAGCTCTGGGTGGAAAGAATGAGATCGCAGATACAAGTGGGCGAATTGGCTTTCCTCCATATGGTGTCATCCTGCGAGATGACGGTAAGATCTGGGGGAAACGTGGAGTTGCGTCACTGCTGCTTTGCATCAAAAGGAGCCAGGTTGGGGTGCTTGATTAGATATCGCTGGAGGGATTTCATATCTCATCTGGCCTGGGAACTGCTTGGGATCCCCAGGAAGGCAGTGAAAACTGTTGCTGGGGAGACAGATGACTGAACACCATGACCTGACTTCAGAAAAGTGAAAGAAAATTGACAGATGGATCAGAACTGTTCTTCAATGCTATAAACTAAGCTACAAGGATGCAAGTTTGATGTCACTATGGGGTCCAACAGTGCCTTATATTACATGTATTGATCGACACCAATTCCTTTTCTGGGCCATTGTTATTATTATTGATTCCACTCAGTGTTTAGCTTTGAGAGGCTTGGTGCAGAGCTAGACTTGGGATTTGCTATGCCAAACATCCTGGATGCTGTAATGATGTGAAGCTTCAGCTCCAAATAAAGACGCATATATCCTTCTCTTCCTGGGACTCTTTTCCCCTCAGACTTCCCTGCACTACCCGCATCTTTCTCTGTTCAGAAATCATTTCCGCTTGGTTTGCATAGGCAAATGATGTTGCTCAAAAGAGGACACTGTCCCATGAAAAGAACCGAGGCTTGTCTACGCAGAAACATACACAGCAGGCCTGCAGGCATGCACAAATACGCAATCTGCCCTGTGACTGGGCTTTTACATACAAGGAACTTTGTTACCGTAAACTCTAAATGGGTCAGTGATGTGGTCTGGGTGTGCTGGAATACATTTCCTTGTTAGATCGGTTTTGAATCCACCACAAGCAAGCATGTAAAACATTTGGTGGGTTAAACATACAACGAAAACAGAACAAAACAATGTCCTCTTCGAAACTGCTCAACAAAGGAAGCAGGAAAGTGAAAAGCAATGTCTATTATTATCCTTAATGACAGCTCATGAGCACATGAGGACTGAAAGATAACAAACAACAGTCAGGCACATTCCCAAAGCAGCCAGGACTTCTTGTTTCAGTCATGTAGGTCCCAATATGCATTTTAGAAAGAACAGGGTGGCTGTCATCTAATGGTGTATCAGATCATAATTGTTAATCATAACCTCTTGCAGTCATTTGATAATTGTAAAACAGCATTGTAAATCATGGTGACAATGCAAAAAAAAAAGTCAGGTGTCACAGGTTACAAGTATTCCCAGCATAACTACTATTAACTCTTCCTGAAAGGGAAAGCCAATTCCCACAATCAGTCTCAGTTATCACATGTGCATGTACATGCACCGGCATCTACAAGGAAGAGTTGTGAAGTCTAAGCCGAGCTGTTGTGTTGGACTGCATTACAGATATACCTAATAAAATATAATAAAACAATGAAATAATAAGATAAAATTTTGTGTCGTTATTTGGCCACATTTTAGGACAACTGCTACCAGCCGAGTGCGTTCGAGATGAATTTGTGATGCCTAAAGTACAGAATTCTGTATGTTTAATTAACTCAATAGGAAACTGAATCTCTGAAATTGAGAGAATCCACTGAGGACTGTTCCAACATTGCTCAGAGTAATCCATACAGTGCCTCTAAAAAGTGCTCACCCCCTTAAAAGCTTTCCCCTTTAACTGCTTTTTAACAACAAAACATGGTCGAACTGTTTTGTAAGTTATTTTTTTGGCCTTTGTTGGATAGTGTAGTAGTGAGAGAGAGACAGGAAAGTAGGGGAGAAGACATGTGGGAAAGGGTCATGAGCGGGATTCGAACTCATGACCTCCACATTGGGACTGTAGCCCTGCACATGGGACGCCAGCTCAACCAGGTGAGCTGTAGCGGCGCCCTGTTTTGTGTTTTTGACAAGACTTTACAAGAAAGACAGTCATGCTAAAGTGGAAACAGATTTTTGCAAAGTCATTTACTTTGAAATATAAAATGTGAAGTCAGTGATTGCACAAGTGGACACCCCCTTCAAGTCATTCTTCTTTACGAAACTGCTCAAGCTGGGCGGCCTGTGGAACGAAGAGGCTTTTTCAAGTCCAGCCACAAATTCTCAGTTGGATCGAGGTCTGGGCTTTGACTTCACCACTCCAGAACTTTAACCTTTGTTGTCTTTAAACCATTTATGTGTAGCCTTGACTGTTCTCTTGCAGATTGTATCAGGTTTTTTCTTTAGGATTTCTCTCTACTTTGCTGCATTCATTTTACCCTCCACTTTTAAAAACCTTCTGAGGTCTGCTACTGAGATGCTTCCCGAAATCAGGATGCTGCCAGCGCCATGCTTCATAATAGGCATGGTGTGTTTGTGATTATGTGCAGTGTTTGCTGTCTGACAAAGTTAATGTCTAGTCCACCAGAATGGTACTGTGAGAGGCCAAGAAGTATCCAAGGATCACCATCATCAAGGCCGTCCTGATGAATCTCAGTAATACTGGTACCAATACAACAAAACATACACTAAACAAGGCTGGTCTCCATGGACACTGACCAAGGAGGCCTTGACTTGTCCAAAACAAACACAAAAAAGCTCATCTGGACAAGAAAGAAAACTGAAGTAGAGACAAAAATAGAGTCGTCTGGACACTGGCTCTTGTTTTGTGACCCCCATGGTCAAGCATGGTGGTGGGAATGTAGCGCCTGGGGGTTGTTTTTCAGCCGATGGGCGAGACGACTTTGTCAAAGTAAACAGCATCACGAGAAACGATCATAACATTGAGATTGTGGAGGAAAACATCAGGCAGTCTGCAGAAAAAACTTGGCCTTGGGCAACACTGTGCCTTCCAACAAAACAATGATCTGCGGTATACAGCCAAAGAGGTCAAGAAATGGTCAACAGAAAACAATATGAACATTGGAGTTGTCCAGCCAGAGGTCAGACATGAATCTCATCAAGATGCTGTAGAGAAGTGATGGCAAAGAAGCACCTCTAACACAATATCTTTGGTCGCTTGTTTATTCCATTTCCAGCCAGAACAAACTATTGCTCATATGGAAATTCACTATAAATGCCAGTTTGGCATAATTTGGGGTTTAACTATACATTCATGTGCAACATAGGATGCATTGTAAA